GAAGTGAAGAAGAGTGCACGGATAGACAGAAGACACTTCTGCGACACACTGATAGGCAAGTGAAGCAGAACAGGCTGCAGGTAGGAGAGACAGAGACCTGACAACATTATATCAAATAACCAGGTTACTATTGGTAGGGAAGGGATCAACTCAGATGAGACGAGTGAAAGATAGTGAAGGAAAGCTAGTTACCGAAGAGGAGAAAGAAAGGAAACAATGGGCTGATCACTTCAGCAAACTCTTGAATTGACCACCACCACCACCTGCAACTCGTCGAGAAATACCACCAGCAACCCACGAACTACCAGTGAAACAGGGCCTCTGATGAAGGCAGAAGTAAAGACGTGAATGCCACAAAACTGCTGAAATTCGGGAAAGCAGCAGGACCAGATGGAATTTCTCCAGAAGCACTGAGAACAGATGCAGAGGCAACAGCGGACATGCTCACACTACCATTGCACAAGGTTTGGAAGGGAGGAAGGAAAGGTACCTGTAGGATGATGAGAAGAAGGGCTACCTTGTCAAACTCCCAAAGAAGTCTTTGCAAGAGCTGGTGAGGAATCATGTTGCTGTTCACCCAAGCAAGCAAAATATTATGCCACATCATCCCAGACAGACTAAAGGATGTGCTGGATTCAAAATTACGATCTGAACAGGCTGGCTTCAGGAAGGATAAATCATGTATGGATCAAATTGCAACGCTACGTTACGCATCACCATAGAACAGAGTATAGAATGGCAGTCAACTCTCTAACTGAACTTCATCGACTTTGGAAAGGCCTTCGACGGCGTCAACTGAAAAGTAATTTGGAAACTGCTTCAGCACTACAGTTTTAGTGCCACTAGTCTTTATCAATCTCATTCAACATCTTTATGCCCCATGATGAGGCTGGCTACATGCCAAGTTATCCCAAATGGAAAGTTCAGCGGCGCCTTTGAGGTGAGGAGATGAGTAAGAGAAGGCTGCCGCTCACTATCACCGATGATCTGCCTGGTTGTGTTGGACTGGATCATGCAGCAGACAGCTGTGAGGGAGAGAAGAAGGGCACACTCTATTTGACCGATGAAAACATCCTCGAAGATTTGAATTTCGCCGACAACGATGATTATGCTTAATGTCGCACAAACTCGAAGATCTACAGGCAAAAACTAACAAGTTGACAGACGAGGCGAGGCAGCGAAAACGGGACTTCAAGTGAACTTAGAGAAGACAGAGTTGATGAAGATACCCAACCAACAACAGCGTCAACAACAAGCACTAGTCACCATCAACGGGGGAAACCCAATGGAAGTTGTCTCTTTCACCTACCTACCTAGGAAAGGCAGCATCGTTCCGACTGCAGGCGATGGCGGCACACATGAGGATGTCAAAGCCAGGATCGGAAAAGCAAGAGGGGCGTCCATTAACCTGAAATCATGTGAAGATCCACTGCACTCAGGATATAGAGTGAACAAGATCCGGATTTTCAACACTAATATCAGTCAAGTCTGTGCTTCAATATGGTTGAGAGTTATGGCGGTGCCTTACGAAAAGCATCTTCAACAAACTGGAGGCATACATCAACAGGTGTCTACGCTCACTCGATACTGAAGATTAGATAGGTGGCGAGAAACAGTAAGCAACAAGGAACTCACTCTGGTCTGACAACGAATCAACCAACAACCCATCGCCAAACAAATATGCAGAAGAGAGTGGAGATGGATTGGACGTACACTGAGAAGGCCGACTGGAGACATCACGTGCCAGGTCAGGCCCTCGAGTGGAACCCAGATGAGAAACGATGAGTTGCGGGGTCCGTGCCAAGGGTGAAATGGAGTAGATCGTGTGAGGAAGAAATGAAAGCTTGTGTTCAGTGGTGGAGTGAGGTTGAAAAGATTGCAGAGCGGAGAGTGCAATGGAAACGTGTAACTGAAGGACTATGTCCCACTAGGAACCCAAGGGATAAATAATGATAGCGCGATTGGTATTGCCCAGCACAACAGAGGCAGCATAGACAAACCTGGTATTGATCGCGGAGCCTGGCTTATGTTCCTACGTTTGCAACAAACACGTCAGCAACAATTGTGCTTAGAAAGCTAATTACGACCACCCTGCCAATCAGAAAATACTTTCGAGCTGGAATTGAATGTTTCTGAACCACAACATTACCAATTGTTTAAACTGGGTTTCGGGTATAGGAGATGAATTCCAAATAATTGCTAGTGGTCCTTATCATTTCTGATGATAAATCCATGGAAATCTTTATCGATAGTCTCGACATTTATCTTAGTGCAAATCCGTTTCTTTCAACTTATAGATGGGCAACCCCTTTCCGATTGGTTGTAGCTTGTCTGTCGACAATCATCATTGCTTATGACCTGTTCAGTCAACGGAACAAAGCCTTTATTTATTGGTATTTTATCACATTTATTAAATGAGCATTTTCTTCTGGAAAATATATGAGGTAACAATTTTTTGTCATTGAAACATTGTGTAGCTAACTTATGACTGCTTTCAATGTTTTTTTAATTATTTGATCCCTCACATTTGACATCAGTAGCGTTGTCATTAAACGCTATGAATAGAACATCATGGAATCCATGAGTTCGTCTTCTTCAAATACAAATCTTATCCTACCGCTAAAAACCATTTCTTTTCATTTCATTGATAGCATATGGTTGATATCAGTGACAAGCTAATTCGGAATATTGCGAATGGCCTTCTCATTCACCTTATTTATAAAAACACCACAGTAGGCGTCGTTTTTTACACTGCGACACATCTCCCTTCTTCGTATGATATAAACGAAAGCTATCATTGAAGTTTTACTATTGTGTATGCAGTAAAAGTGAACCGGTTGTTACAAAAGCAGTACTCGTTTTTTTCAAATAAAACATCGATTTTGGAACGAGATATCAACCATGTTGTCTAAATAACACCGACTTCACGACATCTTTAAAAGTGTGCTTAGCCAGGTACAAAAGTTCCAGCAGCAAGACACTGGAAAAAAAAGTAAAGTATTCAGATTTGACGAACAGCCAAAATTTATAATTTGACTGAATCCTGTTTCATCACCTTTGTTGCTTGATTAGAATTTACATCTCGAAAGAAACACTTTTAATGTCAATCCCCTCTTTGTGATATCTTCGAATGACCAGTAGCAATTCAGACCGTCACACGGTACAACTACCGTTCACGTGACCAAACTACTTAGCACAATAAAACCTAGGAATCTTTAAATGGTAAAGTAAAACGAATCGTCATGAATTCAAAGTAGTGTAAAAGACTTTTTACTGCATATGTTGCATAATACTATATTGTTCATGAAAACCCTGTTACCTCCAATGCATTTAAAGTATGTAGAACCAATTACGGTAACAACCAAACAGAGGTGTGTTCAGTCTCGTTTTATATCTCCCAAAAAGCGAACTAATATTTTCACCAAACAAGTATTCAGTGATTACAAATTTTAACTCCTATACTTTCACAAACTTTGTGATCCTACCTCAGTTTTCAAATCACCCATATATATCTACTTGAATTCATACGACACTAATAATAATCTCTACAGAAAGGGAAATAAATAAGTGACGAAAAACCATCGAAATCCTAATCTTGCTCTCTCCAAACTCAGTCAGATCATACGTACAGATTATGACATGAGTGAATGAATTCATAAATACTAGTGTTCATTTGAAAGCTGAAGTTAAGACCTGGTTTCATTAGCAGTAGTACATAGAGTGAAGACTGAATGTCTAGACAATCTAAACACAATATCGCTGAGATTGGCAACGAACTAAGATGCTATCACGTTGAAAAGTTGTTTCTTTTTAATATATACCGAAATTCAAATCCGCATGCAGGAAATTCATGTCGATGAGCTAAGAATCATACACACGTTCCTAGTGACCCGAGCATACGCCTTCAACCATGATGCTTTGTGCTAGCTAAATAAATAAGCCACAACTGTTGACATTAAAAAACAATCGTGAGGTAAACAAAAAAGTTGTGACGAAATATAGGGAACAGTAATGAAATCCTGTAAACATACAGTCACTGATACACGGATCAAAAATCCAATCACTAATAATATAATAAAAGGAGATAAATACAATTGAATAGAATGTATAGAGCTAAAAGATGAACAAAGGCGGAATTAAGTTATTAAATGAATTATCACCTGCTCTTGAACCAACCAAACTATCACAAACATCATGTACACATATACCTTGGATCTTAGGCGAAAGTGCTCCACCTACACACAAACAAATATAAGGATTGTACAAGTTGTGGGTGCAACATAAACTAAAAAAGTAACTTTGCTGTGTATAAGAGTCCTATTTTTTTCATTTGTAGGTATATCTCATTTGAATATTATAGAAGCTGATGATGACAATTATAATAATAGTAATAGGTGAGCAAATGAAAGATACAAAAGAAATATGTATCAAGCAAATTATGGCAAAAATTGCTACACATAAACATAAACTAGATTCGATGAAAACCAACCAAAATACACCTTAACAAAAAAAACCGTGAAGTACGTTGGTGGATTTCTCATAGGCGCATACATGTAATCCTGACAGGAGAATAATTCCTGTCACCTCAAGTTCATTTTCATCAGAAATAGTTTTATTTGACTGAAAAGTTATTTTGAATAGTCTGTGTATGATGTTTCGTAAAAGAGAAAAATGGAATTCAGAAGTGAGAAAAAACAATACTATAGATAGTGCGAATGATGCTATAATCACATTAATAACCAAGCGACAAATGCGATAGATGGATTACAGGTTATTGAAAAGTACCTCAGTTCCTCATATCCCAAAAGGTGATTATGATGAACTGTGCAAAAAGACCACTGGTTTAAGAAAAAGTCAAAGATAGACTAAACATGAAAAGGAGGTACAAAGTTTATTTAATGGAAGTTCGCATAGCCCCATTATATATTTTGTCCTGAAGGATGCAGAGAAAACGAGGGGGATATCAAAGGCTGAGAAGGGTTCCGGAATGCTGTTCCTGATCACAATTTCCGGATTTTAGGACATCGCACTTCCGGATTGGCGCGAGCTAACTCCAGTCGACCATTGGCCTGATAATCGTAGGCACATTCATGTTGGTCAGAATATCGATGTAAAGAGCAAAACAATCCATCACAACGACAAGCGAAACCTACAATTAACCAAAATTAAACTAATAATACACCAAATTGGAAAATACGCTGGCTAGTTAATTTCGGAAAAAAATATTTTAGAAAAGCAACAGTTTAATACCATGCACTTGTGTGTACCAAATACATAAAACTTGCGACACAGAGAGTTACCGTTTTAATGGGATCAGGTGATATTAGTGTTAGATGTTCGCAGACAAATATATAAGTCATTTAGGTGATGGTATCTGAGAAGATGGAGACAGTCCTTAAACAAACTCATCCATTAAGTAGATAATAACTTATGTTTAGCGGAACTGTGGCTAATTGGTTTGGGTAGTCACCTGTAAAGTAGTTAGTTATGGATTTCTGCTGAACTCTATCTACAGATTTTTTGGTACTTAAGCAGTGTCACTACCCGATCTCGGTCCTGAATGGAGAAAACTTCATGGTTTGGAGATTTCAGCATGAAAAGTAACCATGTTTGCATTACATGCGGTTGCAACCTTCTCATCCTGAGTCAATAATACTGGTATTTCAGATCTCAATAGCTAAATGGTGTTGTAACCTCGAACCAGTCTGGTGAAAGTTTAGTGCATAAACCAAGAACCCAGTTCCACCAAGCAAAGCGATGAATACAATGTACGCTATCAGTTAGGAAAATCAGTCACACTCGGTTTTGGAAAACCAACTACACACTACTTAGATTATTCGCGCTGCATTAAATCACCTGAAGTTTCACTGACACTTAAAAGTAAGACAAATTAAAACAGCTTTCAATGATAAGTTTAAGGGATAAGCTATGGGGCTACAACAAAACTCAGCAACCGTGTACACGTTCGTGTAATAAGGCAATGAGTCATACCTACTGTATGAGAGCTAATCGTACTACCTAACTGTCCAGAAGTGTATAGGCAAAGCGACTTTTCAGTTCGTGACTTGCCGTTTAAAAATCGAGTGCCACAGTTCAGCAACAACAGTTATTATGAAATTAAAAACACTGACTAACCTGTTAATCCAACACGCTTGCGACACCAAGTACATCGATTTATTCGAGGGACGGAACGGGATGTTGATTCAGCTATAATGACAGAAAACACTAAACTTATTCCACATAAATAAATAAATTTATGTGTGATCTGCTTACATGTTCCTTAAATCTTACCAAACCAAAATCATCAATAGGCAGCAACATTTGGAAAAATAGAGCCGTTGTATGAAACATGGACAAATTAAGTAATGTCTGCACAACTATTATTTCATTTAAACCAAAGTGATAATCCCAAAAAAGTAAGGCAAAAAAACACTAGCTTTTCTTAAACGGAATTTGATCATGAGTTGCTTCACATACCGGTAAATATAACTAAATTTTTGCTACAAGACCATTTACAAATACAGAGAATATTGAAACCACTAATACATAAAAATATGTAGGAATCAAATGATTTTGTTACGTCTATATCCCAACAATAAATATCAGTTTAAAATCTGTAGCTATAAAAAAAATGAACGAACAAAACTTCATCCTTACGTTTTTAATTATGAACCTGGCCATACAAATAACTTTCACCAGGTGCGGAGAATGTTTCATTGAACGCCAACCACGTAAGAATCACACGTTTGCTTTTATAGGCTTTGATTATACTTTTCAAGTTGGTGCTAGATCTTTATTTACCACCACCAATTAATAACTCTTGTTTAATCACTCAATAAAACTAAACAGAAATCGGTCCAACCACGCAGGAATTATTTACAAAAAAGTGTGAATTCATCAAAACGTAAGGTAGGAAGGTTGAAAAAGAAAAAACACCCTCCAAGAAAACAGAATTCATTCCTACTTACATCTCAGCTTTTCTACATCAAAGAATGAAAAATCTTCGTCAACGTATACATTAATACACGTATGTAACCGTTTAAGATGCTAAACTCCATGGGTAGTCAGTCGATCAACATCAAAATGGGATATGGTATGGCTACGTCATTGTTCAAGTTGGCACACATCACATCACCAAGTCAAGCGAGAACGTATCACGAGGAAAGAGAAATGGGCAAAGGAATAGATAGAAAGACGAGAAAAGGAATAAAATACTGAATCCAGTACAATGGTTGAGACTGTAGTATCATTCCGGCGAGCATGTGCAGCACTGCTACGATCAGTCATAAATTATGCCACTTAAAGTCACTAAATTCCGAGTTCGGTTGTAACGCCAACGCCAAAAGTAAAGTCTACATTTCCTTACACGCCTCACATCAACAATCAAACCGCAAAGACCAATGACAAGCATTAGTATCGCCGCTTTTAACGTTGCTCCAACCAATGCTTAATTCAGACTAACATTGCACAACAGATTAGACGCTGACTACACATGCGTAACATATCACAGCCATCTGAGTTGATGAAGCCTTGCAACTTAATCAAAAAACATCCTCCTCCTATCCAAGTATTTTATCCATGATCTCCGATTTACAAACGTGGTTACAAGACATATGACGTATGCCACGAAGGTAACAGTGGTCCAACACTTGTAGCCTTCTTCAATTTTAATGGCTTTGTTTTAACGTCATAAAGAATAGGATAGAATAATTGGTGCAGTGTACACTCGACCTTTAGCAAGCAACCGGATACCATGCGTGCACCAAAGGTAGTCAACGCCGACAGCACCATTTGTGCCCATGCGGGGATTTCGTCAGCCATTAGACCACCAGGCCTGACCCAACTTCCCAGCAGAATGAAACCGTTGACACAATCAACCATTTCGCTTCCCACTGTTAGACAAAGCACCACTGAAGACCAATCCACGAGCAACAATACGAATTTCGGTGGTCAGAAGAGTATCTTAAACACTCTCAGTTTGCCACTCAAGGTGTACAGAAAACGCTACATCTTATCAGAGTCCTCACTTAACATGACGACAATCTACGTACTGTAAATCTAAAAGGGATTCTCTCATGAGGTCGTTCCTTATGAGGTCAGACGACGAGGAGACCTTGATAAGCACACCTATGACAAAATTAAATCAGTAAGGAGAGAGTGTGCGTCCCTCGTGGACACTACTCGACGTACACAACTTACCATAGACCCCACCATGCCCACAGGACTTTCTACAGAATGATGTACTTTCTCGGCATCCGTTTTACTGAGAGGCACTGTCATAACACGTCTCGATCAATGGGGTCGAATGCTGCCTTCAGGTCGAGAAATTCAGCCAATGTTTGAGATCGGTAAGTGTGCCTATGTTTCAGAACCCAGTACAGGGTGAATATCTGGTCGATACACCCACGGTTAGGTCTGAATTTTTCTGAGACTTGCTGTTCCCAATTTCCACTTAGACGTATGTTGATTATAGAGCCGACAATCTTCAACACTTTGTCAGACGGATTCTGCTGTGGTAATCACGGTAGGACTTCTGATGTTGTATTGAAGACTGTGACAATCAGTGATTGAGACCAGTCAGAGGGAATCATATCTAACTCCCACATACTAGTTAGGACCAATTAAGTTGACCAATAATCCTCTACCACTATCCTTAAATACCTCTAGTACCAGTCCATCTGATCCTGCTGCTCTTCCCCGTTTCAGATTGCTTACAGCTTTTCCGAACTCTGTAAGTGTTGGGGATCCTATCTCAATGTTCATTTGGGAGTCCGACTATGCAGCCCACAACGGAATAGTTGCTGGAAGCCAGTTGAACTGTTCTTCGAAGTTTCCCGCTCATCGTTCCACTGCGAGTGAATCCCAGACCTGCCCTTCTCAGCTAGTCTGACTAACTACTGACTTTTTCGCCGCAGTTTCCACTATAAGTCAAAATAACTGTCTACTGTTACCTATTACCACTATCTTTTCCAACCCCTGGCCTTCGCTACCCACCACTGTTAACGGTCATTGTGTAGACTATTTGAATCTACATTTCAGCTGTTTCAGCTCCTCATTTTCCTCGGATCCTGCTGGGATGCGTTTGCACGCATACAGTAATTTTGAAGCTACTAAGATCCACTGACCCCGTCTAACCTCTCTGAGAGTTAGCCACGGTCTTAAACGCTGTTTCGTAAAGCAGACTGAAGATGGCACCAAGCTGCTTTTGGATAAGTGATGTAGTCCTTTACTGATAACTGCCTAGCCGTTTTCCGCGCTGAAAGCAGTCGCAGTGCTCATTGTCGAGCTTCACTAGCAATGGTCTCTTTCTTACGTCGATTTAGGCGCAGATATGCACGTGCTCGAACCAACGCGAGGTCACTGTCCGAGCACGTGCTACCGAAGGAGTGGTAGTCTCCCACCTATCATCGCCAGTGATAAGCGATAGCAATGTGGTCTATCAGTGTCCACCAGAGTTGAGGTCGGACAATGTCCCTCTTTATGTCTTAAGTTCGCACTGGCCACGAAAAGATAGTTATTTGAGCACAGTCGTGGTTTTCGATCGCCACTACGTTTGTTCGACTGGAATCTCGAGAGTGCCACCTATGTCTCGTTTTCTTCTTCCGTCTTCCTACTTGGATATTGAAATTGACCACTTTTACAACATTTGAACTTTTAAACTTCAGTAAGAGACTAGACACTACATCAGTGTGATGTAATCAGTTTAAAACAGACAAACGTAAGAGATAACAGGAATAACGACATGTAACATTACAATTACGATGAAAACAATGCACGAATGCATTCGCAACACTGAGACTGATTTTTAACCATGTCTCACTGACTAACGATGTTTCGGTGTTTTTGCTGACATGGAAAATTCTACCTAAAAATGCTAAATTTATTATTTTTAATCAAGTTGCTTGGAAAAGTTCGAAAACCCGTGGAGTTCTGAATCAGGGTGAGTGAACAGTCATTCGGTCATAAACCTATATATATATATATATATATATATATATATATATATATATATATATATATATATATATATGTACCAATTCTTACCATACATTCATCCGTTCGATAGGAGAAAAGACCGTTTGATTTCTTTCCTGCTGTCGGGAGAACAGATTTGAGTATCAGAAAGTCATTTTTCAGTTGCTATCCGCATGCTCAACGCTCTTGAATCCGAACCATATCAGTAACCAACTGACTGTGTGCACCAACTACCTCTGCTAACCGGATAACCAGTCTAACTTAAGAATGTTTATGGGTAGGGAAAACTTAATATGTACGGAGAGTAACGGTCAATCCATAGGCAATGCTTTCCCAGGGATTCTAGTTGATTTTTTTAGTCGCTTACAAGCGCTTTGATAATAATAACCGATAATCTGATTTTGTCGAAATGAATATTGTAAATTTTAAAACACAATCTTCAAACTGTCCATATTAAGACTTCACAACTAAGCGAAATGATGAACTGACTTAATTGTAATGCATCAGCAACCTAATAATACTCTTTTTTAATTCCCTGGATTTAAGGTTGTGTTGTCTAGCATCGCTGCTAAAATCAATGAAGTATATTCCTGAGTAAGTACTAAGATATTGATACAGGTCTTCTCTTCTCCATATTCGCAGGCTGATCGATTGAATCAACAATCTCAAACTCACAAACACTTTCTTAAATAAACGAGAATTTGGAAGTGGTTTAACCTGAAACAATTGATAATCTTCGGTAAGCCGTCGCACGTAGTATGAATATTCCGGTCACAAAGAATGAACCAGTTAAGTATATCAAGAAAGAGTTGAGTTAAAAACTACCCTGGATACAGTAATAACTGAACAAGTAACTAAAGTACATTGCATCTTGAAGGAGTTACCTTTGGACGTCTCTAAAGCAACTTCAGAGTCCGCCTTCCGTTTAAGCACACGAGATAGTTGGGAAGATGAACTTGAATCTGACTGAATTGTGTCACAGTCATCGGGAGAATTTTCGCAGCAATCCAAACGCTGTGCTTTTCTATTATCTGTCACATCATGTGTAGTGGGATGAACTAGCGTTGCCTGTTCCAAAGAAGAATCACACTTAATTTGTTCCTGATAACATTTAGAGCACATATCTTGAAACTGCACACTTCCATAGAAGCCACAACCACGCTTACACATATTCTTGTTTTCGGGTTTGTTTTCTAATTCCGATGTTTCGTTATTCTTTGTGTACAAAACAAATCAAAAAAAAGTAATAAGTAGTGCCAAGTATTAGTAATACTAAATGAATAAAAATGTATATCTCACTGACAAGCAATAATAAGGATGAATCATTGGTTTCGGGGTATCTTTCATAGGTTGGGAAAATCAGTGTCATCCACCCAAATTGGTTTTCCTATGAAATCGTTAATACTTATTGAGTGCCCAGTTGAACCATAGCTTTATCAATACTTTCATGATTCAAGAGTTGTAAACAGTTTTACTCCACCCAATAAATGGAAATGGAACTAAACCATACTACAAGAACACTGCCTCACCTACCGAGGTTTGGGCAACCAGATAGTATCATCAGCTCTCACACAGTAAGTATGGCTCAATGCTTACCGCAAGAATGTGCATAAGGTAGCTGAGTAGATTTCGATACTACAAGATCCAACCTTTGATTCAATTAAAATGAGTAATCCTCGTCTTTCTTTGAATGATAAATACATTGGCCATAGTCCCCTTTTTTACCTTAATTTTAAGTGTTGAGTACACTTTAAATATGATTTGCTACTACACCCAGATCCCTTCTCGATGAGTTCACAGTTCAGCATTCGTGATAACCTTTAGAAATTAATAGGTAGAAGCCTAAATAGTAGTTTACTGTTTGCCACAACCATGCTGAAGCTTATCATACAGGTGGAAAATATTTGACAATACACTAAAAGTAGCAAATGAGAGAATAGCTGTGCCTAAAATGCGATGTACAGGATTAAGACGACACATATCAATTATCCCTACTGCTTTGAAATCGATTTTTAATAATACTGTTACAGCTACCTAATCAACTGTTAGAGACCTTATGACACCTCAACCAATAATGCTTCAATCCTCAACAATCTAGATGGATAGTGAGGTAATGGATCATTATATTTTACTATGGTTATCCTCAAGACTCGGTTTAACATTGAAGGCGCAATCTTCACTAACAAGGAAGTAGCGAAAATTAACCATTAGTTGTCTTCGGCTAAAATGACAACTCAGTTATTCCTCATAACACTATACGAATCTAAAAAGATCTCTACTTGCATGATATTTATTTGACAAAATATAAGCCGGAAAGCATATGCAGGTCAGAACGCTAGAACGAAATACACCTATTGTGTGAAAGCTAATGACAATGTTTACCTACTCAAACCCCAGTAGGAGGAGTGGGATTTGAACTTATGACCCTCCTAGTTGGAAACTCCAGTGCCCACACTAACAAGTCATAACTCCACGTTTTATTCAACAGCTGCCAAAACTGGATGGTCACCACAAAGACTGACTGGAATTTCGACAACTTAATATAGGTTGCCTCTCCAACCCACAATCTTAAAAAAGCTAAGGTCGAACCGAAAACGCCAATCAAATTACTAACCAGAGGAAACAGTCGAAATGCAGACTCAAATAGTTTACACAATGACCGTTAACAGTGGTGGGTAGCGAAGGCCAAGGGTTGGAAAAGATAGTGGTAATAGGTAACAGTAGACAGTTATTTTGACTTATAGTGGAAACTGCGGCGAAAAAGTCAGTAGTTAGTCAGACTAGCTGAGAAGGGCAGGTCTGGGATTCACTCGCAGTGGAACGATGAGCGGGAAACTTCGAAGAACAGTTCAACTGGCTTCCAGCAACTATTCCGTTGTGGGCTGCATAGTCGGACTCCCAAATGAACATTGAGATAGGATCCCCAACACTTACAGAGTTCGGAAAAGCTGTAAGCAATCTGAAACGGGGAAGAGCAGCAGGATCAGATGGACTGGTACTAGAGGTATTTAAGGATAGTGGTAGAGGATTATTGGTCAACTTAATTGGTCCTAACTAGTATGTGGGAGTTAGATATGATTCCCTCTGACTGGTCTCAATCACTGATTGTCACAGTCTTCAATACAACATCAGAAGTCCTACCGTGATTACCACAGCAGAATCCGTCTGACAAAGTGTTGAAGATTGTCGGCTCTATAATCAACATACGTCTAAGTGGAAATTGGGAACAGCAAGTCTCAGAAAAATTCAGACCTAACCGTGGGTGTATCGACCAGATATTCACCCTGTACTGGGTTCTGAAACATAGGCACACTTACCGATCTCAAACATTGGCTGAATTTCTCGACCTGAAGGCAGCATTCGACCCCATTGATCGAGACGTGTTATGACAGTGCCTCTCAGTAAAACGGATGCCGAGAAAGTACATCATTCTGTAGAAAGTCCTGTGGGCATGGTGGGGTCTATGGTAAGTTGTGTACGTCGAGTAGTGTCCACGAGGGACGCACACTCTCTCCTTACTGATTTAATTTTGTCATAGGTGTGCTTATCAAGGTCTCCTCGTCGTCTGACCTCACAAGGAACGACCTCATGAGAGAATCCCTTTTAGATTTACAGTACGCAGAAGATTGTCATGAGTCAGAAATGGCGCAAGTTGGCAAATGTTAAACAAGCCTTCTGTTTCCGAGATGAAGTTTCAGCAGTAACAAACTGTTCCAGGCTGATGCAACTCTCAAGGTAAGCGAAGTGGTCGACGCATTCTATCACTTCGCTCTTTATCCTGAATTAGAGAAGTTGCAGACCAGTCGAGAAGCATCATTTCAGATGTGACAAGTCCGAAATGTATTCTAAACATACTCAGATTTCTGCTGAAGGCGCTCAGAATATCTTGCGTTTTGTCAATCTTCACCTAGTAGGCCAATGTCGTCTGCGTACTCCAAATCAACCAGACACCCTCCAGAGGCATCGATCCCTGCGAAGTTAAAGGTAACTAGAGTCATGTCAATTAGTATATCTATAACGAAGTTAAAAAAGAACGGTGACACCTGGCATCCTTGATGGGCACCACTGGTTGTCGTCAAGTCAGATGCCAACTCTCCATATCCATTTATATGGCCGGGCAACTGCAAGTGTAGCTATGCTTAACATTTCATCCCGGAATCCCACCATAGCATAAGCTGTTCACATTATGAGAATGACTGGTCTTAGTCTTACCACTATCGAAAGACGTTCCCCACATGGTAGGGTCAGGTAAAGGTGATCGCAACCAGCATTGCTCGTTGGGTCATTGCGATAAGCAGACTTGATCAACAAGTTAGAGTAGCAGTTGCCGCCCAAATCATATGACTACTTATTCTTTACTTTTCATATAACTAAGACGTCAAACATATCTACCTCAAGCGCCTAATGTACACTATACAACGGTCTAATGTATGAATCCAACGAGCAATTACTTATTTTTTATTTTAGCAAACATGACCTTTGGCTGGCGACTAAAAGCTAAAATGTGTTCATGACAAACAATTCTAGTGGTAGTAGAAGGTAGTACAAGTGGAAGCTTATGACATTTTACTTCGATCGTTTTTAAAATCTAACCGTTTTCCAACTAGTTGGTCAGATGTATCAGGATGATACCAGAGGTTTTTGTTAGCATTGTGAAGTTCTAAGGAAATTTCTCGCATACGAAACGGCCAAATTTCTGCAAATACAGTTGGACAATGAAGCTATTCTGCTGCTTTTTATTTGTTAATCGTCGGTTAAGATACATCATTTTTAGCAGTCCACAAAGCTTTTACGACAAGACTTCCATTAATGTTAAACGCTAAGATAACAAACATGTGAACTTTGGCGTGGTAGGTTACATTTATTGTGTAAGAGACAGTGATATTACTTGGCTGCTCAAACCTCGGTAGGCGTGGCGTAGTTCAAACCAGTGACTCGCTGGCTAAAAGTCAACTGTCTAAGTCAATGAGCTACAGCTCCTTAAGTGCCAAGATAGACACTACTACTCCAGTCTTAAATACAGGAGAACAAGACCAAATTATAGTCTGGACAGCTACAGGTTCCTGCAAGTAGGAAATAAACCAATGGAACCAAGCATAATGTGACATCTTGTAGTAATATAGCAAAGTCCCTTAAGCGAAAATAAAGATAGTAAAGATTAATAAACTACAGTTGAAAATTGTTAGTGAATCTTGACAGTTTATGTACATTACTTTGGCAAAGTCGATCTGAGAGCCTTCAAGGGAAGGCACTATTTCAAAATTATTAGTACGCATTTAAGGAACACCCATAAAATCGCCAAACAACCCATGATTCAATCACCAATAGGCGTACAAGACTGTTAATTAGACAAACGTGAAAGCATACAAAGTGCACCATTTGTTGCATTTCCCAGTAGCGTAAAGTAAATCACGACAAATAGTAATGTGTTGTCATAACCAAGGATAAAAGAGCACAAACGAGTACGAATCAATGAAATATTCCCCATCTTATGTGGATTTAACAAACCTGTACCACTAAGTGTTATGTTATTGAGCCCCTAACATTTCGAGGACCACAACCAAGTAGTTTATTCTTTATTAGGTCAACAGCAACAGTCAGGCAGTTCATGAACCCACGACACCGTATTCTGGTCATCTTAAACTTTTCTTTAGCTAGATCTTACCTGAAATAAAACTACACGAGGTTGATGGTTCTAACTACTTCAATTGATGCAAGCTAAACTTGAAGAATATGCTTTCCTTGTAGAAAACTACTTAAAGTCCCGATGTTGCTTACTGTGGTCCCACTTATGCTCGAAAACCACTAACCCCTGATGTCAGCCACTAGCGATCATTTCTCACAATAGTACAACAGAATAGATTAGTCTACTGTGCATAATGCCTGAACTCTAAAAAACAACCAGATGTTTCACCCGGACCTAAACGCCAAACGGACCCTGCACATTTTTGACGAGATTTCATCGAACGTGTCCACTAAAGACGTTGCACCCAAAATATGTGGTTGGTGCATACAACCACTTTGTATTCTTAAACCTCATTGGTGAGAACTAATCATGTAGCACCAAGTAACATTTGACAAGATAAGCATAAGATGATCATCACAGATCGTATTAGGACCAAAATCTAGAAAGAATAGCAACTGCTATGCTTGTACTAACATACAACAGTGCCTGACAAACGAAGTCCTAACACCTAATATGGTAGGGCTGTTAGGTTGACCACAGAATCAACAAACAAGTGTAACAGAGATGATCGAAAGCCAATCCAGTGTACTTAGAAAACTATACAACTATTAAAATAAAAGAGGGGGAGGCAATAAAGCTAAGTAAATCAAACAAGAAAACCGTGTGATCCCCTAGATATGAGTAAGTAATCATTTATTCTTAAAACACCACCAAGTAAATAATAGCACATCCCTGTGCTACATCAAATAGCATTACTGAATATAGAATCAATGCTCAAATTCTTTAGTGACATGGAATTAACTTCCTAACTAAAATCTTTAGAAACCGACATATTTCGCCAATGTTTTCCAGCAGAACTCGGCCGTTCACCTACCTTACACAAACTAAAGGGTTTCTAGAAAGGATATCAATTAAAAAAACTGGAGCTAAGTAGTTACCCACATAAGTGCATAACGAATTAGCAGTAAGTCACGATGCAGTTGGTAGGCAAACGAAAGTTCTAAAACCCGTGTTAATAGGAGTTTGCAAGCTAACATGATATACAAGCGAATTTATCAGAAATCAATTGGAAAACACCCCCAAGTGTCACAGTATTAATAATCAATAACAGTAAGAACCAGCAGAACATCTATATGGTTCCATACTAGTTAGCTTACTAGATGCATAAATGAGAAGATTCACTGGATTATGGTTAAAAAAAAACACGGTATAACTTAAAAACTGTAATTCTGCGAACCGGACTATAGATCATACCGACTCTAACTTCACAATTCGGCACAGGTTTGTGTATTTCATAGTCACACTCTTCTTTAGGGCTTACAATATCTGGACCTAAATACACAGGGGGATTTGAACAGCTGGTCAATATGGTGTGATACTGAATACCCAAATACGTAACTGTTTCGCTCACTATGAGGTGTGAACTACATGCATTTAGCGTGAATAGTTACAGTGGGATAACCTAAGCACAAGTAATCCAAATAACCACCAAGATCTGAAAACCAGGTTGGGTTCTAAAAGAACTTTGTCTAGTCAGCAATCTCGAAGTTTTCCAGTGAACTACGGTATCAAATGAGGGGCCAAATAAACGGATATAGGGCCTTAAAGGAGACGAGTTTGTCCTGGAGCAGATTACAGTTAACTATATAGATAGATGGCTATAAGATAATCTTGACTCAATACATCAGCGGATGGAGCCATTTAACAAATTTAAAACCAAGCTTAGGTCCAGGACAATTGAATCTACAAAATATATTTGTATTATAATATAAATCAGAATAGTGAATATGACTTAAAGAGGAATTCCTTCTTCCGGCTCTATGAAATACCGGGACGTTCACTGCTGTCATCTGAGAAACCTGACTAACATTTTATATAATAGGCATCGAATACCAAATGAAGAAATCTCGAAACAGCTTAGCAGCTGTTGTAACAAGGACAGTTGAAAATGGCTAAAACCCGGTCATGTTACACCTATAGGTCTTAAAAGGGAGCATATATCCAGATATAAATCGGCTTATTCATTTTACCAATATAGAAATAATCCAACAACTCACCATTCTGAAGCACGGCCAGTTATGAAAGACTGTAGTTCCCTTGCCAGCCACAGCGGACAAGGCAATCCGGTGATCTCAGATGTGCACCAGGCACAGTAAGAACAAACAAAACATGTTTTATTAAATAATGGTTTATACATAAGCAAAATTCCATGTTGAAAATGCACTGAAAAAGTGGTCGAATAAGTTATCCTGTAAAAACTAGCGCCAGATTCGTGTGATATCTCCGCATAGACTACCTTGTAGTTATCTGGCTTGAGATACGGAAGTCAGTTAGGCGGAAGCTTCTTCTTTTCCCTCAACCACCATTCGAGGCCATCTAAATCTTCCTGCATACGTATTACTTTCAACTGTACGTAACTCTAAGGGATTCCAGTAACTATTTCGCTGAAGATGGACTAGGCGTGAAAATCTTCAACCTAGTGACTTTTGGTGCGCAAAATGCACCTTTTCCTTTGTTGACTAATCGCCGCTTTCATGTCTGAACACTCCATTCCTATCTGCGCGTCCCCGAATTGGCAAGCTAGACGTTTGCACTTATTTAATTGAGAACATCTGCATATCTAACGATGACGGAGCCGTCAAGTTTAAAAGGAATTGTGTGGTTTGAGAATACTTCCCGCGAAAGTGGCGTATTAATTCTCACGCTAAGCCATCCATATTCAGCTCTCATAAGCGTCTTCATACTTCATATATTCGGCTTGAATTCATAAACTGTCTCCCAGAGTCGCTGCGACTACAGTGGTGTAAAACGCTGTGATAACATATCTCCTCTTATTGTGGTAGATGTCAGCGAGAGGCACAGTGGAGAGGCATAGGCGCTTTGCTTTCAGTTAGCCGTCTTTCTGGTTTCTCATCGTCAGACATTTCAGGCCACAAATTTGCTGCCCAGTTGCAGTTATTCGATTGGCCTCCCCTGGCCAACGTAGTGAACCTGCAAGATCTGTTTTGTGAGAGTCTGAAGAATCAACGAGTAACTCTGGAGGAACAACTGGTGTATGCGCAGCAGATATTCTCCAGAGCATAAAGCACAGTCGTCGATAAACTGTGTTGTCCGACTTAGTGGATATGTAAGGGCCAGAAGATAATGACTCTCGTCGAGATCCATTCGTAACCTCCTCCTACACCCTCACTAAATGTGGCTCATATGATACAAAGGATGCATTCTGTCCAAACCTGTCAGTCCAGCCACATGAAACGAAACTTACAGATAAAGTCATAGCGGCAGACTTTAAAAGTAGAGCAGGGAAAGTGGATGATGATGAGAGGTGTCTTAGTCCAGTTGGTGGTATTCCATGACGACGGACCAACAGCAGTCACAGTCCCCAACGCTTTGGTCTTTTTGATCGGGACGTTATTCATAGACTGGAATTCGTAGTAGACTGGAATTATTCGTTACTCAGCGGAGCGGCTCACTCGAGCAGCGCTATTTCCTGGAGTGCTACGCTTCCGTGCATACCAGTGGGTCACTAGTAAGCAAAAAGTATAAGCACCAGAGAGGTGACCAAGCCCATGTCCTAGAAGAGGAGAACGACACCTCGCGGGAGGATTTATTGTGGGAGCGCCCGATCACGGTGCTGCGACACCATGGCATATTATGGATTCACGGTGCTCAGTTCACTTCCCACTGTGACTCTGCAATTGGAATGTGGGAAATGTTTTGGAGACATGTATGAGAAAACTATCGTGTACAACTGTTTTTCTGCCTTTCTCCATTCTTTTGGGTGTTTCACTGAATTTTCATCCTAAAATTCGAAGAGTTTGCTTGGTCGTTCAAAATCGTTAGGTTAATAATCAGTGTGGGATCACAATAGTCTATCATCACCGCGGCTGAAGGGTCATACGGGGCCTGATAACTGTTCAGGATGCCTTCTAACACTTTAGTTCCGATGGGAACCGAGTGTGGACTGAATGATAATCGGTTTGATATATGGGCAGTGCTATTGCCCATGATTTGTTGGACGGCGAATTTCTTCTTCAGTGCGGCCCGATGTGTACAATAGGACTGCACGAGTGCATCAGACCTCCTTTCGGAAGCACCAGTAGAAGGGAATGCATCAAATTCTTGAAGGGGAAACTTCCAGAGTTTACGCACTCAAACTGCAAATGAGTTGGAAAGGGTCATGGAACCTGTTTTCTCAAGCCCCAAACCGGAAGGTTTGCCTCCAAGGTGGCATTCCTAATCAAAGCTTAAGAGCTGTTGGTTAGAATGAAGAAGATCATGGGCGATTTGATACACCACGAGCAAATCCCTTCTGATCACCCCGCATCGCGTTGGATACAGCCTTAGAGCAACCGGGCTATCCGGGCATGGTGCATACCATGGCCCATTCTCCTTCTTCGTAAGCCTTCCTTGAACCCGTTCTGGGTTGTCAATATCCTTCAAGTATGGAAAAATACTAGTGAATTTTCCTTTAGATGAGGGTGGATACGAAGTCCTTGCATAGTGCGAAACGGCTGAGTTAGACTTCCTGGAGTGTGGGAGTTAACTTTCAGTATTTGGGTGAGAGATACTCATCTCCACCTGGGTTTAAGAACTAGAATTACTTATAGTTTTGCCTACAGTCATTAGCCCACTCATCTCCGGGTTGATAGGGGGCAGGTTTTCACTTTCCGATTCTGCGATTTTAGAATGACTCTGTTTTAGAACTGAGGTCTCCGTTGGCCGTTACATCTCCCTCCAAATCTTGAGATCAGTTGCAAAAGACGGTGAGCGAGAAGTTAAGGTTGCTCCCGGGACATCCATAAGGATAATAGGTAGTAGCGAACGAAGACCGGAACCTTGAGGCGCTCCATTTGGAAACTGGAAACTACCTGGACAAAAAGGGGCCTACCCAATATGGTCATCGCCCGTTGTCAAGGCAACTTCCCGCGTACCCCTAAAAGCCGAAGTTCCTTTCATGGGATATCATGACTGACCCTACCAAGGGCTTTGAAAAGCCATGCACCTCAATACGAATATGTATCGGGTGGCTAGGAGAGTATGACCAGGTAACACAACGCATCATAATAAACGCGATAGATGCTCGCGAGTTCACACTCAGCCATGCAAGCCCGTTGAAACTTTGGAGTTAACTTCCCTCGCGGGAACTTGTTCATGCATCTCGCGGGAGAGAATACGTTCTGCTTTCAAATCAAACAGTGAGTTGAAATCAAATGTGGTAGTCCGCTGTAAAGTAGGTAAACTTTTAACACCACCACCCCCCCAGCATCTGTCGCTTATGGAATAAGCAGTAGCGACCTAAAGGCTTATAATGGTCACTACGACATTGGGAGTATACCAATAATAACAGACAAGCAGAAAGTAGGCTACGAACAACTGAAAATCGGGTCGATATATAAATACTTCTAGACTAATTTCTGGATATAATTTACCTATTAATCCATTATGCCTTTTTCTGGAAACTCGTTTATGGTGTGACACTGAGAAGTTTATGTTTGCGAAATACGACAAGCAGGCACGCGTTATCACCCGAAATCATGAGAACTTTTCAGAAAATTTCGGCCTCTTTGAGCTTCAGCAAATATTGTGGTGTTTGAAGCTGCCATTTTTGCCTGGTAACCTTTGCTACCCATAGGGACCATTTCAGTTCAAATGATTTTTTCACTGGGGAGATGAGAGATATCCAGGTTCATCCGTAAAGCATTTGATGCTGACCTGAAAAGCTAGTTGTCTAAGCACTACTTGCTACGCTGCTAGCAAATACTTGGATGTGCTGTAATCACCAAGTTGTAGTGATGGCAAACTTCACAATAGTTACCATGACAATGACAGATATGTTTTGCCATGTGCGCTCCTCAAAAGAGAGAGCGGCTTTGAAAGCCATTCCAAAGACGCAGCCAAAAGTAGATCTCTGGTTGTTTTCGTGTTCAACAAACAGGTAACTTAACGTTTTTGCCAGTATCTTTAATTGCTGAATCAATTCCTCAAATTCTCCTACAGGGAGTCATTTTGAAGGAATCCCCCACAAGACGATAGGCTGCAGTACAATTGTCAATAAGCTGGTACGCTGTAGTCCTGTTAAATCGATATATAAGTATCCTGAGCTGTTTCAGTCAGAATTAAGCGTGTCATAGTGACAGTTAGTGATGGTTTCCATGCCATGGTTCTTGTGGGTAAGCCGACGCTGTCAACCCTCTTAACGAAAGGGCGAAGCACAAGTTTCTATGGTGGGCAATGCCACAGTAGCATAGGAGACCCCTTTTGGAGATGTAGGTAAAATTTATGCGAAGCTCACCGCCATTTCAAGGCTTTCTTCGTGTGTAAGACAGGGTCATGGTAAGTGCGAACAGCCGTAGATTTGCAGAAGTGATGTTAAGTTGCAACTATAGAAGCGCACATATTTCTCAACTGAGAGGTCGAACTAATGCCAATGTACTGAGTTTTCTCGGCTCAAAGGGCACCGGTTACATGAAGTAGAATGAAAGGCGAATGTACCAGCCTTATCGTTATGCCTAAGTTTCTTAGTGCCCTAGGGTGGCTTGATTCTGGTCCGATAATGCCATCGTGTGTAGTGGACTCCCTTTTAATAAAAGAATTTGCATCTCTTGAACCCAGTTGGATATCTCTAACAGCACTGTGACGTCCAGTTGGTAGGCTAAGAGTCTCCTGTGACCGATTTCCTCATATGCATACGTTAGATGGCCATCATAAATTTTCAAGTTTTGTCTCGGAAGAAATCACTGTAGTCCTGCTTGTAACATGCCTAATTCATACATAGTGTCTTTGATGGTTTGGCGTCAGTTGTCGTCTTCAATCGGCATGTTCTGCATCTTAGATCACGAAATAATGCTCATGTGATGAGAAGTGGATGTATCTTGTTAATTCCGCAGGTTACTGTTACAATACTGTACTCGTCGAAGGTGGCCCTTCCTGAAGGCGTTTGAAGGCTTTCTGTGTGCCGTGTCACCGATGAGGGTGGTTGACTGTTATAAATGAATAAATGAATGAATAAATATTTTCTTCACGAATAAGGAGTTCAGTATGAGAGAAGCCAGTTTAC